TGAGCAATCAGGACTGCTTCTTTCTCAGAAAGGACTCTTAGGCTGACTCCTATGTTACAGTTTGTTCCGAGTTACCATCAGGATAGCTAAATTCCACGAAAAGAATGAGTTGGGACATTAATTCAGAACATGTCTGTTCTGTTGAGGGAGGACAAGATGGACTCAGCCTTTTTTTGTACTGAGTCTCTCTAGATTTGCTGCTATCCTGTCATTCATCACTTAACAGATACTGCTTTTGCAAGCTAAATGTGAATATGAGATGGGTCTGCATGGAGAAAGAGAACATTCGGCTGACCAACCTACTGGACAGATCGGATGGGTCTTTTTACTTTTAATTCAGAAGCATAAAGGAGTTGAGAGTCAGTGGAACATAGCATGAGCTACAGTGGGAACAGAGGGACCCTGCAGAGAGTAATCCTTTAAACAGCCAAGCTCAACAGGAAATGTATGTTAAGGCTGACCAGCTGTTAACTGCTTTAAAGAAAATCCTAGGAAGAGAGTAATTCAGATGATGGGCTGTTCTGTGTCTGAAGCAGAGTGGGAACACAGGGACCAGAAGGAAGTGACAATTTTTGCCCAATCTGGCCATGAAAAGCGGTCTATAGCCATGACAAATGCATAGCTGCAGACCGCTTCAAGAATGGCTGATTGGATGAAACTGAACCCTCATTGCATGAGGGTTCAGATGAAGATGTTTCAAAACATAGCTCTTCTGTAACTTGTGTCTGCATTGCCTTCCAGCCTGTCACTGTTTTCAGAATGGGAAAGGAGGGAAAAGGGAGCAGAGGGAGCTCTGTCTAGGTGTTTTTCAGCCTCTGCTGGGGAGGCGCTCTGATTCACCCACCCCACTTCCAGGGCAGGCTGGGGAACCCCTAGAAGGAGCTCCCTCTGCTCTCCCCCCTACCCATTCTGAAAACAGACAGACTGGGTGGGGGGACCACTCCTAGGGAAAACTGGCTGCAGATTTCCCTCCCCCTGGAACCAACAGGGAACTTCTGTTTGGTCAAGGGGGTTCATTGCAACTCAGAATGTTTGCTGCAAAGTGTTCTGAGTTACAGCAGGGAGCTACACTTCTGTCTGCACCCACAAGCCACTTTACATAGAGAGAGGATGCAGTCTGTGATTAATTCAAGAGCGATGTCCTGCAGAGACTAACAACCTATCACACCCAGGATGTACTTCTGTCTTCTGACCCACCCTTCCTTATAGCAGCAGTGGCAGTTGTGGAGCAAGATATTTTCAGCAGATTAATGCTCAAGTGCATTACAGGGCACCTGCTCCTCCACATTAATTAATTCCCAGAAATAACCTTTGTTATATTTTACAGCTTCAAGTAGTACCATCAACTTGAAACCTAGTTACTACAAGTACTGCTGCAGAATTCCCTCTTCCCTTGTGCCCACAGCCAATCATTGTTATTTTATGGGCACATTTTTCTATTCATGAAAATGTTTCTCTCTCCTCTATTGCTGAGGGAAGGACCCACCAAGTGTGCAAGGGAAACAGTGAAACCAGATATGCAGAGGGTGCTATTGATGCACAAAATAAAAAAGTATGAAAATTCTCCTCTGCTCTTGGGTGTTTTAACAATACCACAGCCCTAAAAACTTGCAGACAGAGTGAGATTCTTAAGCTATATGCCCTTCTAATATGTTACAACTTTTTGGAGATGCAGTTCAAAGGGACCAGTGAGTTAAAACATGTGAGAGAAGGACTATATTTGAATATTTCTCCACACACACACTTGCACAAACACATAATTCCTTACGGCACAGTACAAGAGAAATATTTTATTAGATAGTCTTTAGGTTGGATATGCTATATAAAAAGTCATGAGAGAGTTCTGCAAACCATGGCTGTACCAATTAAACTAATGAAACTTTATTCCATACCATACTATTTGGTATATTGAACCTGTCATGTATATTACAGAAAAGATTATTTAAGAATTTAAGAGAGATTACTGATTTTTATGCTTTTGTCTGAGAAATTGGGTTCCTCAGCAGTCAAATCCAACTGTACGTAGTTCTATGAAACCAACCCATAAAACCCCTCTAAAATGCTCTAACTTTTCTGTATGTAACCATGACAGGGAATAAAAAGTCAGTATTTCTTTCAGTTCCTGAGCTAAGTGCTAATGCCATGTCCTCCATTAGGAAGCTTGGCATCTCTCCTCACCAGGAGTACAAAGCCATTACTTATAACTCACAGGGCTATAAGACATTAGATTTTACAGTTGGGGTGTTCTAACATATAGAAAACATGTCTATTGTCAAAGGCAAAATCTTGCCCATCCAGGACCTCAAGGAGGCATTATTCAGGACATGCAAGTATTTTTTCCACATTGAGGGGAAAGAGAAAAAAATTCCTTTTGTCAAGTTAGTTGGCTGAAGGAACAGAAGGGGCTGGGATGTTAGAATAAGTCCCAGAGGATGTCAGTTAGGGGACAGAGAACAAGGAAAAACATAAAAAATGCGTAAGTTCATTTATCTCCTGGCTATCACCTCCACTGATTGTGTGTATATATTAAATCAGAAGGAAATAAAGCTGAAGTATCCATTTGGTCTCAAGTGCCTGTCAAACACTACTTATTCCTCACGGTATTTCAGTGAAGTATAACAGCAGTGGAATATGACTTGTCCCATTTTTCAGATAGGAAAAGTAGAGCACAGAGAGGTTATGTGGCTTTCCAAAGGTCACAGGGTAAATTGGTGGCAGAGTTGGAAGTTGAATCCAGGAGCCTCTCTCTTCCCCTGCAGGATACAAGTAATTCCAGTTGACCTCAACAGACAGAGAATACCAGATTGCTCTGTCTCCTGCTTCAAACACACATACACTCCCTCCGCAGACAAAATGTCGAAGGTCAATAAGACCGCTAAGTAGTAGCAATCAAACAACACCACAAGACAGTTCGATGCCAGCTCACTTAAAGAGATGAAGGATGAAGCCACAGCATTCTTGGCCAGAGGGAGCAGCTGCCTCTTGCTCTCTCCACGCAGTACTAAGCACTCTCCCTCCCACTCTGGAAATGACTTTAGCAGTCTGCTCCTTGGAGGCACCAAAGCATCCCAAGAATGATGAAGCCTAAACTCAATAATAAAATTACATAAAATTAAAAGCAGGCACCAGGAAACCATTTAATCATTCCCTAGCAGGGGAGCAAACCTCTGCTCCCAAGTGCCAAAACCTGAAAAACAAACCTTTCAAATCAAGATTTCAGCACAAACAAAGGAGACACATGTGAAATTAATTCAGCTACATTCAGAGTAAGCAGCAAGGCTTTTACCGCAATCATCTCCAGGGCAAGAGTTCTCTTACCACAACAATATCGGTGATTTACAAACAATAGGTTGGAAGGGGGATCATGGTTTTTAATTACTCATTTTATTGAAGATTAAACCGTAATGGATACATACAACTCTTTTGCCTGCAAAAACTAGCATTGGATGATGCAGTACTAAGAGTACAAAGCAAGGCTAGCTAGCATGTGGATGCAAACCACTGTCCTCTACTGGCTCAAATCAGAATTGTCAACTGTGCATTAGCAACTTTCTGGGGTGTTACTTGTAGCAAGCAGAATCTCCCTTTGCCTGAAGAATGGTGTTTGTATCCAAAAACTTGCAAAGAACGATTTATCCAAGTATTTAGTTGGTCTAATAAAAGACATCACATTTACCCGAAGAACCTTGTCTGCCATTAACATTCTTAGCACTCTCCTTTAGCTCAAGTAGTAACAGCTACTTGTACTGTAGTAGCACCTAGAATTTCATTGCACTAAGGACTATATAAATACAGAATTAAAAGACAGTCCTTGTCTGAAAGAGACAGAACAAGGGGATCGTACTTCTATTACTATGAACATTCATAGATTTCATAGACATCAGGGCTGGAAGGGACCTCGGAAGATCATCGAGTCCAGCCCATTCAAAGTGGCGGTGTTATGAAGCATGGGAACAACTTGGCATAGGAGCATACCTGCATGTCAGGGGCTGCAGTGTATACCACTTCAGAGCATACGGCAAGATTAAATAGTTATATGAGATATGCGGGGAATCAAGAAGGGCTGTAATCAATGGCAGAGGCTGCATGTTGCAGAACTGAAGTGCTCTGTCTCAGAAGATGCTACTCTACAGGCATGGACAAAAATTATGTTTTGTCATGCAATCGGCCCCCTGAAGTATTTTATAACAGTGCCCTGACAGATGTGCACAACTGGAGAATACTACAAAAGTGCCTGATCGGAGGAGATTCTGGACCCTCATTACATGAGGGTTCAGATGTAGGTGCTCCAAAATGGAGCGCCTTCATTAACTTCTGTCAGTGCACGCTGGGAGCAGGGCTGGACTTGTGCAGCCCGATCCTTCCTTTAGTGCTGTCTTGAGAGTGGGATGGGGAGAAGAGAGGAGGGAGTTCCATCTGGGGTTTGCTCAGTCTGTGCTGGAGGGTGGGGCAGGTGGATTAGAGCTCCCCTGAAGTGGACAAAACCCCAGATTGAGCTCCCTCCCATCCTGAAGACAGCACCAGAGCTGGAAGGTGTGGGGGCAGTGCTAGGAGAGAAAGGTTGCAGACACACAGCCGCTCCAAACTCGAGCTCAATCCCAAACCCCCAAGATGCACCAGCGAAACTCTGTTGGGCTGGGTGGGGGACGGACTGCTGTAACTCCTGGCGTTTCCTGTGAAGTACCATGAGTTACAGTGGGGAGCTGCACATCTGTCAATGTCCCAAATATTTTTCAATGACTGGTGCCTCAAGAGCAGAACTGCAACCACAGTGAACTGTGGCCACCTGTATTTGATAGTTATATGTTGCCCTCTGTTCTAGTCAGGTTTTTATGTACCTTTTTAGGTTATTTGAGCAGCTTATGACCCCAAGGCCAAAGGAATGAAAGTGCTGGAGGAGGCATGATAGGATTAGAGCCAAGACTGGTGTAGACCAAAGCCCCATCATTCACAAAGTCAGGTCAGCTTGCCAGTGTCAGTCCTTGTTCAATTGTTTTATTATGGGTTTGAAGAAACAGATGAGAAGTGAAATGGTACAACCTGCAGATGGCAAAAATGCTTACATTAGTTACAACTGGCAAGACTGCAAGAAAGTGCTAAAGGAACCAACAAGTGAGGTTACCAGGCAGCACTGTCTGTACTGTTAGATATATCTCTGGCTCACCTAAATGTAACATTTGAACATCATACAGTTTTACCATAAGCAAGGATTATTGTGGGTGATATCTTTTATTGGACCAGCTGGATAGTTGGGAGGGAAATAAGCAAGCATTTGGGTACCACTCTACCCTTCCTCAGTTCTTTTTTCCTTCATTTTTACTACATTTATCCTCATAACACACCTGTGAGGTACAGAGGTACTGCTATTCCATTTTACAGGTGGGGAACAGAGGGCATTTTTAAACATGTAAGTGCCGCAGCACTGGGTGCTTTGAAAAGTGAAAACGGTGCTGCAACGCTTGCAGTTGTATAAGTGTCGAAATACGTGTCAACACTGAGAAAATGGCAGTGGCGTACTTCTGAACTGCAAAACATCAGAGGTGCTTTAATTCAAAAGTGCACCGCCTCCATTTTCTGCACACTGGTGCACATTTTACCACATACAACTGCACATGGCACAGCATGGTGCATTTCAGCTTGCAAAGCAGACTTGATTGAGTCTGCTCTGAGCCTGCTCTGAAGCAGCGGATCTCCAGTGCACCGCAGAACGAAAAAGTATGCATATAAATGCCCAGAAAGACTAAATGATTTGCCCAGTCACCTAGGATGGCTGTGGTAGACCATAGAAACGCCCACGTCTCCAATGTCCCAGTCTGACATTCTCCCATGACACCACCCTTTTTCCCCTGGCAAATAACATTCAGTTTAGAAAACACCAATTTGAAGAAATCACTTGAGCCATTCACACACGTATGTTTCTGTCAGAGTAGAACTTAGCATTTGAAAAGAACAACACACAAGCCATTTTGGGCAACTTGTTGCATAACAATTGTTAAAAAAAGCCCCAATCAACATACTTAAAAGTATATAAAAAAGGATAGAAAATAGTAAGATGTCATCAAGTATTACCAGTGCATCCTAACCTTGAATACTGTCTTTGCATTATTCACCCACAAAAGGATACAGCAGATATTTATTTCAAAAGGCCAGAGGAGAGCATTGAAGCTAATCAGAGACATGCAAAATTCCAGAATGGGAGGGTTTAGATCAGTGGGGGCCAACCCTTTTTGCAGGTGTGCCACAAATTAACTCCACACCCTCTGAGTGCCACTTTGATTCCTTTTCTCCCTCTGATCTGCTGCTGTGCTTTCTGGTTCCCACCCTGTGCTTCCTGGTTGATCTGTTGCTCTTCTTTCTGCTTCATACCCTGCGCTCCCTGCCTGATCTACTGCTCTGCTTTCTGTTCTCTGCTGTACCTGTAGCCCTGACCAGGAGGACCCCTGGGGACTGCAGGGCCATTTCCCTGTCTCTGGTCTGTTCATGTCTCCAGGCAGTTTCACTGGGAAGTGTCCACAGACTCCTTGGACTGGTTTGAGTATGGACACTTGTCTGATATGCTCAGCTCGGTGTCCTCCTCCAACTTGAGCACTTGTTTTGAACTTATGACTCTTCCATCTCTGTTCTGTCTTTTATTTGTCCCAAGCAATCAGTGGCATGCCCTTAGGCGGCCCCCATCACCAAGGGGGGCTTATAGCTCTACTTGGTGGGCTTCAGCCCACATTCCAGAATGACACAGCACAAGGCCTGTCCTCTCCCTGAGGCCCTGGCTGGGACAGTCCCCAGGGACTGTGGGGCCATTTTCCTGTCCCTGGTCCATTCAGGTCTCCAGGCAGTTTCACTGGGATGCATCCATTGGCTCCCTGGAGGGCCAGTGGGCAGTGGCTGGTGTGCTCTGCTCCATGTCCCCCCCTTGGAGCACTTGTTTTAAACCTCTGACCTCCTCCCAATCCCTGTTTGCTATTCAGCAGTCCCCCAAACTCAGTTGGCACACACCCAACAGCCCCCTCTAACGACGGTCGGGGGAGCTGACTGCTGCTCTGTGGGCATTAAGCTGTGTTAACCTTGCGTGTCACACAGGCCTGTCCCCTCCCTATCCGCAGCGTGCCACACGCGGGGCCTACTTGCAGCACCCGTGCCGCAGGCCCCACCCCTAATTTACAGGTAAGATCTTGAGCACAGGGAACCAGCGGGGCTGAGGTCCTGAGGTGTTTCCTGCTACAAACAATGGAGGCTGGAAGAAACGCAACGAAGGGAGGGCATGAGCGGGCCAGAAAAGCTCTTTAAGCTGGAGGCGATGCCGGCACGAAAGCAGCCCCGCACAACCCGCCAGTGCAGACGTCCAGCCGGAGCACGAGGCACATCCCCCTCAGAACACAGACAGCCAGGCACCAGCCCCAACTTCCGGTTCCTGTCCCCCACTTCCGTCCCGTAAAACTCGGGGCAGAAGCATTTCCGCCCTCACTACTGCGAATGTCCTCTTTAGGAATCGGAAGTTGTCTACTTCTGAGAGCACCACCCCCTTACCGCAAGTACGTCACCAGCGCAATACCCAGGGTGCTCGGAGAGACTTTTCTTTCATTGGCTCTCCAGGGCTGTTGCTCGGGGTGACGTGCCGCCCGGCAGTGATTGGTAGGTGTGTGCACAGGCGCAGTCGGAGGGCTCTGCCATGGCAGGGGAGAGGGTGGTATTCGTGAAAGCTGGAGGAGGTGGGGGAGGGGTTCGGCCGCGGAGCTGCGCGGCTTGGGCAGGGCCGGACGCCGTACGGGGGCGCTTGGCAGTGGGGGCAAGGCTCTCTGGCACCCCAGGCAGCGTCATCGTTAGGGACCAGAGTTAACGCGGGCCGGGGCTGGCCGCACCCCTGGGAGCCGAGGATCCAGGCTGCTCCTGGGCACAACAGGCACCGACTCCCCTACTGCTGCTGGGTCAGCGACAGCCCCCAGAGCATTGCGGGCCCAGGCACGAGGGGTGTTTCCTTTTGTCTGTCACTTCATCTGTACCTGGGCCTGAAACCTCCGCGCAGAGGGCTGGACTCTGCCACGCAGCGTTCTTCCCCGAACAGTCCCAGATCAGCGCGGGTCTCGGAGCCAAGTTATGATCTGCTAAACTGAAGGCTCAGCTTGCAGATTTGTAGTTTTAAATGCACCGCATGGCTGTAGGACGTTACCCAGAGGGGTGATGTGGCTGGGGACCTATCTGAGATTACAAATTAACAGAGTTAATTTACCTGTAAAAAAAAAATATATATATATATACACCATCTGCTCTGCTGAGCATTTCTTTACCCGGACTCTACTGCGATTTTTTTCCCCAGATAAAAATCGTATGCAGTATTTTTTCATGGTGTGTAACTAAAAGTCTCAGACAAGTGATCTTTACAGAATATAAAAGTTACTGTAGACAAGCTGTTTACATCCTAACCTCTGCCATTGTTCTCAGACACTAAATGCTTAGACTTCCTGGCAGTGCACCCCCTGAGAGTGCTGGTGCACCCCCTGACAGCCAGTGTTCCCCACTTAGGCCACTGGCAGGGGGGCAGGCGGGAGCAGTGGTACCCCCCCACCGAGAGTGCGGGCCGGGGAGTAGGGGTGCCAGGAGAAGCGCTGCCTGCACTCTTGGGTCTGCACAATCAGCTGCAGGGGGATGCCTGCCCTCCCTGTTGCTGACTGGCTGCTGGGGGGGGGAGCAAGTGCCCCCCCCTCCCCCCCCAACTCAGGAGGCATCAGTCGCCCATGCTTCCTGGGGTTTCTTTCTTTCTTTAAATCTTTCTTGTCCCACAGCATAAATCAAATATTTCCTTTTAAGACATGATTATTCTCATAGGAGAAGAGAAATAGAACATGGTCCAGTTTACATGGACCGTGGGGGGTTACCTTCCTCTGTAACAGGCTTCCTCTGGCGCTCTGTCCAGAATCTCTTGAGAATATATAGACCTTTTATAAAAGCAGGAGGTTGGCTGTTGTGGTTCCCCTGCTTTACCTGTGGCAGGTTAGGGTGTTATGTCTTGTGTTGCATCTGGGTTGACAGGGTAATTTTACAAAGAGTTTAGATTATGGATTTGTGTGGGATGGTTTGGATAGGGATGATCCTGCCTCAAGCAGGGGGCTGGACTAGATGACCTCTGGAGGTCCCTTCTAGTCCAATTTCTCTGTGATGTCTATGAACGGATGGATGCCATCTTTCCTCAGAATTATCTGAAGGATCTTTCTTTTTCATTTTAAATAGGTCATTCAAATTCTAGGGGATAAGTTTCCATACAGTCTGGTTGCAAAAAAAATTGACTGTAAGTGCACAGTTTTTTTTCACTTGTTAATTGCTGACATTTTAAAGACTAGTAGCCGTTTCTCAAATGATTCCCTCCCCAACTTTTTTTTTTGCAGTACCAGAATATCAAGGAGAACCAGATGAAATTTCCATTCAGAAATGCAGGGAAGCTGCAAAACAGGTCATTTGCTTTTTCTTTTTACCACTGTCACAGGTTTTATTAAAACATTGCTTCAAAGTAATCAACAGTTTTGCTTAAACAGCCCGCTATGATCAACAAGCATGATGAGGCACTTTTTGGCTAGTGGAAAATTAAATGCTCATGAACTGACTGAGTCCAACGGAAGGGACTCAGAATATTTAAATATAGCTATAGAAGAATGTATCACTGCCCTTAGGGGAATCCAGGTCTGGCCCACAAAAGGACTGTATCTGACCTATAGAACTAACACTAGTGCTGCCATGTAGCGGCAATCGATGGCAGGGGGATCCATGATATAAGGTGCCATGCAGTGGCATGTGGCAGAGACACAGATTGGTGGCAACTGGCCTACCTTAAAGCTTGAATTAACAAACTCTATTCATTTGGCTTGCTGCTTCTCAGAGGATGGCCTGCCTTAGATCTTTTTCTTATCTGATACAAGCTGAGAATGAGGTCAGCTCAGCTGGCTTTAGCTGGTTTGGGAGAATGCTGCTACAAGGATCTCCATCTCAGGCAATTAGTATTCTTGTCTTTGTAGCACAGGGACAAAGTAAAGCATTTTGAGTGTGTGATCTGCAGTCCTCTGGCCTCCCACATCCCTAGAACACAGTTCATACCTGTTCACGAACTGACAGGGCTCCTTTGTTTTTCTACCTTATCATTTGATTGGTAGTGATGTTGTACTCTGTTAGCCTCTGATTTTAACAGGGTGCCTTGAAAAAAGCCTGTAAGAAAATTCTTTTTTTCAAAGACAGTTTGATTGTGGATCTGATGAAAGGCATCAGTGTGAAAATGCAAAAAAACCCCTCCTTTTTCAGACTCTCATTCCCCAATAAAGAAGGAAGGGGCCCATGTGAATTATTCAGATTAGCTCTGCTCAGTGATCTAAAGCAAAACTTTTTTCTGCTTTGGAAGTGCGACTACCAGCTATTGGTGGTAGGAATCACAGTTTTTTTTTCTTGCCTGCTTTCTCATATATAACCTCAAATTTAAGGAGTTTGGGTGCTTTGCTTTCATGAAGCTCTTAGCATTTTGTGGAAATAATGGTGGTAAGAAAAATGCCAACTTTGGAAAAGGTGTTGTCCCCTTAAATCTAATGATTCTCTTTCTATCACTTCCACTGTGCAGATCCAGGGACCTGTTATAGTAGAAGATACTTGCTTGTGTTTCAATGCCTTGGGGGGACTCCCAGGACCATACATGTAAGTGAAACTGAAATTCATGTATCATTTTATTGCACAACTGTAGATTGTTGGGAATGCTTCATGCAGGGCTTTCAAAACTCCTTGAACTCTTTTCTATGTTGTTGTTGTTCTAGCTCCTACAACTTCAGCTCAGACAAGGAGAATGGAGATAGAATTCATACTTAGGTGTTTCTTGTTTTTATATATGTTACTCTAAAATTATTGCTTGTGACATGATGTACTCCCAAACTGCTGCTCCCTGTCACTGTACCCATCTTTGGGCCTGGCCTTGCAGAGGAATCCACATGAATGGATCTTTGCACCAATTCAGACATCACTAGCAGGATCAGCTTTTGTGACTGGACAAAAATCATCCCCAATACAATTACATCAAAGTTATTAAGGGGTTACACCAAGGAGGAATTCTGCCCATTATACTTCATCTACAGAGAAAGAGCTACTATAATAATTTTTAAAAAATTCAAGTCACTGGATTTGTATTACTGCATAACGGGAATCTTGAGACTCTTGTAGTTCAGTGTGTAACAAGATTTCCAAATATAGGGGCTTTTAACTAGGCTAACAAAGTTCTGCCTTATATCTTGACACTGTCTTTTGTTTTACAGTTTCTTTAACATTAGCACTGCTTAGTCAAGTTACTAGGGCAGGAAAAAGAGAAGCTGGCGTATGACTATATTGCAAGATGATTCACATGACTATATGACTGGGCATATGATCATTCCCCAAACATGAATGAGTTCAGTTAGCTAGTTGACAGGAAAGAGCTGATCTGATTGTCACTTGTGATGTGCCCAGAGTTGCACAGCAACTTGAGAGAAACCTAGCTCTCTTGAGTTCCTTAGGTCAGCGTTTTGCAACCCCTGGGTTGCGATCCAAAACTGGGTCACAAGAATATGTGAAAGGGCCGCAAACAAACTTTAAAAATGGATCAAGCTGTAAAAATGGATTCTCCTTTAAAAGGAGAAAAATGTGGGAACCCATGGGTTTTCCCTTGGAGGCTGGCAGAGTTCCAGCCTGCAAGGGGCTGCCTGGGGCCCTTGTGCCCCACACAGAATCTCTCTCCCTGCCCCACACACTTGGGGACAGGGGGCACCAGGTGGGGAGTGAGGGGCTCTGGGTCAGGACTGGTCATCAAAGTTTACAAATGGGTCTTGGTACAAAAAAGTTTGAAAATAAATAGCAAAAGAATTTTAGGCCAGAGAGCTACAGAAGCATGTATTTAAGAAACGGGATCGGATTTTACAGTGAGCCTGAAGGTGGTGGACCTATGAGCCTGCACAGAGCTCCACTGATTTTAGTATTACTCCGAGGAGTGCCCGATTTGCTGGTGTGAGGGGTAAATTGGTATTTTATAGCACAGGATTACTAGGAAAACTGTGAGAATAGAACCCTCAGTAGAATGTTACACTAGAAATGTTTCCACTGATGATAGCAATGACCAAAAAGTAACTTCCAACTAATATTTGTTCTCTTTTTCTTGTTTCAGAAAATGGTTTCTAGAAAAGTTAAAACCAGAAGGTATCTCCCTCTGAATATTTGTTCAATGTCACTTGCTGCTCAATGATAGCATGTTCCTGGGAAAGAATGCCACCTTGCAGCAACACAAAACAGATCTCTT